ATATCTCAACCACTCAGATTTTTATGAAACTTGGTACATAGATTAAAAGTTTGTGCTAACTAATTACTTATATGTGCTCCACAGATAACTTGAGTACCAAACACCACACATCAAATTGTAATGAAACTAGTCAATAAAGTATTCTTTATTTGTATCTCTGGCTTCCAATATCTTCAGCACACAGGGGTTCTTTCTAAGCTTTGTTTGATTTGTCAATACATTGAATGTTTGTCGCGCGTCGGACGATACTTCCGCTGTACTGTCTTCTTGCATACTTTAAGGTATCCTCGTAATAACCTCATATTAGTACGTGTACAAGTTGATCATAATCATAAACCCACAATCATTATGAATAGTGTGCACAGTCATACGATCTCGATTCGTTTAGATAGTTAAGCCTGTTTATTAGGTTTCAGGATGGGTGGTTATTACAGGTCTTCTAATACCAGATATAAGTAAGACCTTGCTTCAGTCAATCAGATTGCTAGATTCAGACTATATAACCATGTTATGTCATTTCATCTGTTATTTCAGATCTTAATGAATGTGACAGTACCCCATGTCAAAATGATGCCACATGTGTTAATGGGGAGAATAGGTATACCTGTGTGTGTAAGGAAGGCTATTCAGGTGTCAACTGTGAAATATGTAAGTCTATTACTGTAGAATACTTTATTTTCGCTTGGAATTTATTTTCGCTGAAGGGATGATTCCATGAAAATAAAATCCAGCGAATATACATTTTTTCCTATATTTTACATTAATCTCAACAAAAATCAGTGAAAATAAATTCCAAGCAAAACGCCCAAAATACCTTTTCAGTGAAAATTAATTCCAGCGAAAATAAAGTATTCCACAATATATCCTCTCCTGCCCTCAGTTTATAGGTACCAATTCTGTGTATATGTCAATGGTTGGATTCTAAAGACCTTAATATTTAATGTGTCCTACTACAAACCAATTTTTTTTTTTTCAATGAAAAAAAGATATTTAAGATTGAGTGAACCACAGTAACTGTGTGTTAGTTTTTGATTATGTAAATCCTTTTTAATACATTCCCTGTTTTTTTTATTTCAGTACCAGATGCTAGCATTACAAATGGAGACACTTCAACATATAGTGGTGATCTATTACTTGAACCATGGTGGATTGCTGTTATAGTTGCTCTTGTTGCTCTTATAGTAATATTCATTATTATTTTAGCTTGTGTTAGAAGATCAAAGAAGGAGACAAATTACTAATACAAAAATTGCTTCTTTTTTACCTTTTCTACAAAACAGTACCAAAATTAGGCCAAAAAAATCAACAACTTATGTTGCCCTCAAATCAAAAAATTGAAAAATTTGGTTGGTCGATCGGATTTTTTTTTTTTAACTTGTGAAAACTAAGGGTATCATAAATAGCCGAGGTATATGGGGAGAAAAAACACGACCCGATATTTCATATTTTTCGGCCGGTCGCTGAGGGCAACAAAACAAATTTTTTTGGCCTTACTGTGCCTTTTTTAAAACTAGAATCTGATATTTGAGAATGTCTTATAAAGTTTTTAAAGTACCTATGTATTTGCACATGTGTATGTTATACCATGAGTCATTGAAAATACTTATACTATGCAATGTCACATTTTTTTCCCACCTTTTAATTAAGCTTTAAGTCACTGACATGAGCAAGATGTTTGTTGTGTTTAGCTGAATTTTTTAATAGGCTATGTCTGGCATGATATGTATATAGACTCATTGGCTGTTTGACAAGTGTGTTATTTCTGACTCCTCTGTACTCAGGTTACTAACAATAATTATTTTACTTTTAAATACCTGGTTATGTAGCTGTTGCATGAAATAAAAAATCAGTTCATGTGATAATTCCATATACTTAGCTTTAGTTGGTATCATATCAGCATTCATTGAATTTCTATTGTACTTTGTATTTTACATTATTTCATTATCACATGTGAATTGCTGGGCAAACTTTACATTTGATCAATTTTCAATTGAATTGATCTTTATTTTTTAAAAGTTTTTATTCACCCACCAAACTGAAGATAAATATTTTTACTCAAGAGTATAATTGTTTTGAAATTTACTGAATCAGCATTATGTCTTATTTTAATTAACATTTCTGTAATTATTGATAAAATGAATTTTATTTGTATGTTTTAAGAATTGATTGTTCTTGAAATCATTTATCCATATCACTGCTTACTTATATGGCTTGTGCCTTCCATTTGTTTGCATGCTAACAAGCAATGGGATATTTTTTAATAATGTATACAGAGCAATTATTTTTGCTGCCTTTTAAGTTTAAATTATGCTTCAATTTTAAATTTATTTAATGTATACATGCATTTGCCACCTTCCTCCCCAGCATATTCTATTTACATAGATCCATTTTGACCAGGTGAGTCAATTAATTTTAATATTCAAAAATATATTGTAATTTAGGCTATTTGGTTTTTAGATTGGGATTTGGGACCTGTTTAAAAATAAAAATTATGCAGGATCTAAGCAAAAACTGAGAAGTCCATTTCTTGTGAAAATTGTTCCATTAGGGACCATGTGAAATTTCACTTCCATATATGTAAACAGAGTTGAACTTTGTGTTACTTTTACCTATTTATTCGGCAAAGTTTCAAATCAACAGGATTATAATGCAATTTATCATGAGGATGATCAAAAAGTTTGAATGATATCAAGTATTTTTGAAGTTTGGAGGTCAACACATTATCCAAAAATTGCAGATTTGAATTTGTATGGGGTGTGCAATTTTTACTCCCTGCCATCTTTGGATAATCATGCTTAGACGTTGACTGAAAATAAACAAAACCAAGTGACATTTCAGCAATTTCTGATTTTCTGTCTACTCCAACTTAAAGTTAGTGTTAGTGCTTGTTTTTGAATGCGCTAAATGTTTTTATTTTGAAGGATTTGATAATCACTAACAGATGTAACTTGTCTATCTGGTATCATAGTTGGTTTTATAAATTGAAATAAAAGTTTCATTTACAAGAAAATAAAGATGAATCTGTTGTTTCCTGCTGTGCTAAGCAAGAGTCGCTAATAGGCTTTGATGTATCATTACTTAACATATTAGATGTATAGTTACGCGTAAGTGATTCCATGCGTCTGGTCTACCCTCCCGGAGGGTACTGGCATTGAAGTGCTATATGTACATGTGCTGCCAAAAGGGGTATGTTCTTTTTCCCCCGTCTATCTGCAAAGGGGTATCCTTTTTTCATTATTTCTGTCTGAAAAAGGGTCCATATTTTTTGTAACTTCATTTGGATTGTGTGTGAAACTTGATGACTGCATTTTGCATTATTTCTTCAGTTTCAAGCCCACCTGCCTTTCCCTTGGTACCATTTATACTTGCTGTCTGGAAAGGGGTGTCAAATATCCACAGTTTGTCTGAAAAGTGGAAGTCAATTTTGAGTTTATATCTGTCTGATAAGGGGTAGAGGTTTCAAACAACCAGCTACACACCCCTGTCAGTATTTTTTGCTAGTACCTCCCCCGGGGGGGGGGGGGTCTACCCGTACACGTACTGACACTTTTCGGCGTCCGAGTTTAGTGGCTCGTTGTAACCCGCGAACCTTAAAAAAGATAGCGTATATCAGTATGTCGCTGAGGGCGCCACTACATTGTGAGTTGACGACAATCGGCGTGCACGAACCCGTAAAATATTGCATAAATGACAAATTACAATAAAACTAGTGAATTTTTTTAATATAAAACTCAACTTTTGTTTTTTTCTGCATACAAACCTTGTGTTTTATGTACTCCTGAATATTTGTCCGTCACTCTGAATTTTTATAACTTGAAAATGTTAAGAAACGCACGTTTCATAAAGCTATCTTTGCGTATTCACTTTACACGTAAATTTGAATGAAAACGCGTAACTAAACCTCTCTATTATTCATTTAAATACTCATTTCATGAAGGAAATTGGTTTGTTAACCCTCTGCTGAAGTTCCTTAACTATATGGCGACCTTGTGTTACGAAAAGCATTTAAAGTGTTTGTTTGTTTTTTTTGCCAAAATTGTATAAAGTTCACTGTGTTTAGTGTTTATGTAACAAGAGTATTCACTAGAAAGACCTCTGTTGATCTTATCGCTGCCATGAATTACTGGGAGAGGTATTGTATACATGGGGAAAATGTTTCTTATCACTGACATAGACTTTTTCTTGTGGTTACAATAAGTATTTATCTGACTGGTTTTAAAACTTGAATGTGTTAATTATTTATTTTTTATTTATTTTTTTTTTTTATTTCTTAGAAGATAACTATATAAATACATGACAGTGTACAGAAAAAGAAAAGTATACCAATGTACAGGTAAAGAAAAAAAAGAGTTCACAACTAGTGTTGTTAATTATTAAGAACTCCATTATAATACCAGAAATCATTCTCATTTTATTGTGATTTTGGTCAGACTGTGTGCTCTTCGAAATATAGATAAAAATATGGTTACTAATTAGTTAAAAGTAGAAACAAATGCATCTCCAAATAAGACCCAAATATGTTATTTATTTTATACTTCCATACTCAGTAATTCTTATTGAGAAGTGGCTAGTGACCCTGAGTAAAATTGAAGACAGAGAGACTTTCAAATTTGTATTTGTCTGTCTGATATGGTTTGCCAACAAGTTTAATTTTAAACTTATTTACCGATGGTTGAGGAGCGGCGATCACCCCCTCGAAAAAAATGTTGTGGACGTATCCCCCTAAAATCAAGCTGAAACCCTTTGTTTCAGCTAAATGTTCCCCTCAAAATGCAGGAAATAGCGTTTCAGAAGGTCTAGTTTTAAATTGTTTAAGGAGAGCATGCCCCGGACCCCCCAGGAAGGTTGCGCCTTCGGCACGAGGCCAGGATGGTGAGCAGACCTCGCCTCTCCATGCAAAATTTCATGTTGCCGCCTCTGAAGAGGCTACGCCCTTTCCATCTACCTCTAAATATAAACTAAGAGCTCAACATTGAATACAATTCTGAATCAAAACCAATGACTAGGATATCAAATCCTTCATTTTAGTAGGATGTGATGATTCATACTGTAAATAACAATGTGAATCAGTAGGTTTTGTGTAAATTGATGTAGAAATCCGATCACCATAAACCCTTGTGGAAATATCAAGAAATGTTAAGTGTTATTTCTGATATTTCATGTGTATATTGTATTATGGGGTTACAGTTGTTAACAAACTCGATGAACTGTAATAATTTATGATCTCAACTGCTTGACGTGGCACCATAGCCATCATCAAAGTACCTCACGTAAAATTCCAAAACAACTACCCACCGCAACCCCTCGTTTTTGTAAATGTTTACCATTAAAAGAAAAACAATTACCATTCAAAACTAATTCTGCTTGACATACCAGCAACATTTAAAGGGCGGTGGTCGTCGCGCAGCGCGTGTTCGAATTTCAAGTAAACAAACAATGTATTTTACACGCGTTGTGTACGTCGTATGAGTCATCGAACAGGACACCACGATAATTTCTTAGAATTTCATCGAAGTCATTGAATTTGTGAAGTTTGCAATTTTTACACATTGTCTTGATAAACTGTTTGCGTATACAATAAAATGAATTAATAGGATACAATAAAATATTAACGTAAAATTAAAAAGAGATATGGACTAAAATGTCTTGAATGCTTCTATCACAAGGCATAAGGCGTAAAAAGACTTTAATGATATAGTAATTACGTGTAACATAATTGTGTATACATTGATACAACAACTTGGCAAAAACAAAACGTGTCACTTCTTCCAGTTTGTGTCGCGCAAAGCATTGTCGGATGCATAAATATTTTGTTGTGGTTTATTTCTGAGTCTGCGTACTGAGCCATCGCCAACGTAAACATTCAAAATGGCGACTGAACTGAATGCCCGGAAGAGACCGGCAAGAAAAACGGCTCGAAAATTCAGTTTAAACACTGAAAATGAACTGAAAGCTCGTATAAGACAGGTAAGAGAGTAATTTGTAAAATACTGAGCATAAAAACAGTAACCGCCATCATGAAATAAGCATTCAATATGGCGAATGCATTTTCGTTTCCTGTGCTTCGATTCCAGCTCCGTTGCCGTTCGGCGACCTCGAATTTATAGCAACGATTCATTGGGGGTGATTCCTGTTCACTATTTTAGTTTCATGATCCGTTTTCAGTGAAACTAGATGTGGTTGTAGTTGTATTTATGTCAGAATTTTTGTCAAGCTTTAATATTGTCCTTCATTTAGCTAAATTCAGCGGTTTAGTGTCGGGGTCACGCTATGTCGACCTTCCAGTAGGCGGTTTTTGATGAAACGTTATGCCGGAGTGTGTATGCTTTGTGCATTGGAATGTTATACATTGGTTTAGTAGGTCGCGTTGTATTTGATGTTTATATTTTTATCAAATTTATCAGTTTTATAAAACCACATATGAAGAAACTTAAAAAAAGATACACAAAACTCGGTATTAAACTACACAAATCAGGAAAATTCACCGGAGGTCGAGAAGACCTCAGAGCTAGAGTAATGAAGGTATTTTTCAAAATGAAACATGCTATTCTCAGAAAAACTGATTACAATCAAAACATTCAAAAAAATGTTTGATTCAATTGTAAAACCAAATATTCTTTACTGCAGTGGAATTTAATTGCAGTATCCTCGTAATTACCTTATTATTATACATCTTTTCCTCCCAGGAATACATCATGGGAATCCTGAAATTCCAAAACGTTTAGAACAGATGAAGAAAACTTTATTTGTGTGGGGTCCGGTCAAACCCTGGGGGGGGGGGGGCAGCCATTTTTGTTCTTTATTATTAGAGGATGTGGAAAAAATGTGTCAGCACTAGCAATTTGCACGTACAAAAAAAAGTCAGGAGGGACAACGGTGACACTCAATGTGAAAAGTGAAATTAAACGATTCACTTTGATGATGAGGCAGTTTGTTGGAATTCAAATTCAAGTTCGATATATGCACAGTTCCTTTATTCAGAATTCTGTTATTTAGAAAAAATGATGAATACAACATTTAATACATTTATTACATCACTGGCCTGTCAATTGTAAATGTTGCATTACCGGTGAATTTCTCTACAATGAGCGAAGTTCCACAGGACTTCGGCTCTCCTAAATATGCCTGTGATATTTTCTGAGGCTTTTAGTGTTTCATTTTATTTTTTTCAATAAAAAATAACAAACTACATGTAGGTCTAAACAGTCTAAACTTTACCATCTATTGTTATTCAGGTTTTTTTAAAAAAAAAAAAATTGCAATTCAGCGGTGCCACCAAGTGGGGGAGATAGGGTTCTGAATCTCCCTACCAGTGTGTGGAGTTTTTGATAATACTAAGTTAAAATGAAGCATTCTATGGCTTCCTTGGGGCCAAAATTACTATCAGACAGGTCACAGTTGAAGACTGGCCACATGTGATTCCTAGCCAATCAGAATTTTATGGTTGCCAGAGGATCTGCTCCCAAGGGTAAGGGGGGGCGCATGGCTATGGCATGAGGGCGCTGCGCTCCTGTTCCCTTGTTTAAAAAGATCCCTGGTTATTCATAAAATCTGTGTTCTCAGAGCTGAATCATCCCATCAATTTAGCTAACATTGATGGTACAATAACATTTGATATAGTATAAATATATCACTGGATGTTGAATTCTGTTCCCTAAGAGTCATGTTAGGATGGATGAGAGAATAGAACATTGTCTTTCATATTATACTGACAATCTAGCCGTTATGATACTTTTAGATTGGGTTAATAATGAAGAAGTCAATAGATGACAGAACCGACATTGAACAGTCAATTATGAAAGAATCCCCCGACATTGTTGAAGAAATTGAAAGGAGGGCCAGATACAGAGATGAACGACTGAAAAAATTGGAAGAGGTAAGATTTTTATACCTGTATGTAGGCATCTTTGCTTATTTTTATTTGCTGGTGTATACTGTAGTATATTGTATTCAGTAATACGAAAACACATTGCATCAGATCCTATACCAATAATCATCTCAAAGATCTCAGGAAAAAAATTCTGGTCAATTTTGTTTTCCCACATGCTTTTTTATTTTTAAATGGTCATAATATTGCTGATGCATATAAGGGTCAGTGAGAAGTTTTCTGTAACTCACACTGGGAATGCACCCTTAAAACTATGCTTTTGTTTTAATTTTTACATGAAAATTTAATTTTGACTTTTTAATATTTTAGTTGGTTGGTTTATTGTACTTATAAAGTTGTTACCTGTGGCTGTGTTGATGATGCGCTTCAAATATAGCAAATATGAACAATATATCTTATACCGCAATGTAATCATCAGCGTGCAAATAATGTTGACTTAATGTTGCAGGTTGAAGATCCTCCAGCAGAGCTTCTTGCCAAAGTCGCATTGTTAGCTGAAGCCATTAAACATGCCAAACATGTAGTTCTTTACACTGGTGCTGGCATAAGTACAGTAAGTACCAATTACATTTCCCCACATGCAATTTATTTTTTTGTACATAAAAGTTTAATATGGCCCCTTTAATTGCTGCAAACTGAGTTGCAATTTTTGGAATCAACGGAACAAGATTTTAGAGTAACAAACTGCATTGCCATATTACCAGGGAAAATTTGTTAATAAATATATCTGCACCTTTAAAGGGTGACCAAAAACTCCACGATTTTATGTTATGTTCATGCTCTCTGATGCCTCTGAATGAATTATAATAAAAAAAATAGGTCATATTTATCTTTTATTGCTTCATAACATGGGTTGAAAAATGGGTTGTTAAGGTGGTGGTAAACCGCTGCTCTCAATGGTGAAATCAGGCTGTAGAGGGCTAAACTGTGACATCATTTGTGAACAATTGCGCAATCACACGTATACGCTGACAGTATCCCAGGATAAGTGAGACTGCTCTCCACAAAGCACTAGTTTCGATTGAAAATTCCAGCAGTAGCGAATATGAAAATGATACAGAATTTGACTTGTATGGTATAACAGATATAAAGCATTTAACGAAAATTATACAATACAAGGATTGTTGTCGCTACTTATCCCCATCCCCTCGTTCCCGTGTATGTCCGGACAGTCCCACTTGTGTTCGCGTGTTAATTAGTAGAACCCTAGATACAATCCAATAAACTACTGTAGAATACTTTATTTTCGTTTGGAATTTATTTTCGCTATTTTCGCTGAAGGGATGATTCCGTGAAAATAAAATCCAGCGAATATACATTTTTTTCCTATATTTTACTTTAAACAGCGTCCGGATTACTTTCGGAAATTCCGTTGCGTTTCGGAAAGTTTTAATTTTCAAAACTTTTGAATATTTATTTGTGCTTTTAGGTTAGTAAGAAGGTTATAATAATTCTTCATTTCACTTTAACACTGTTTTTACACCCCTCAGACCCCTTTAAAAAGTCACTTCTGGCCATTATAATGGCCACTATTTTCTTAATGGCCAGAGTATTGACCAGAATTTTTTAAGTGGCCAAAATATTTACCAGTGTTTTTAAAATGGTGGTTTTAATGACCCATGTTTTTTATACTGGTCAGAATAATTACAATTGCTTTTTGAATGATGGAGTTGATGAACATTTTTTTTTATGGGCAGTATAATGGTCATTTTATTTTTCATTACATACATAAAATGACCAGTATTTTTGTTCATGTCTCTAAATATAATGGCCCAGAAAACAGCCTCAATATACGTGTGGGAATTTATTTTTCCCAAGTTTCACTGGCGCTTCCAAGTACACTTAAATGAAATTTCGCGAACATTGCCTCGATCCCCAGTGAAATTTCATAGTAACGCTGATGCCAGTGACTGCTGGTGGACTGCATAACCTGCGGAATATTTAGATGGTGTTGAATCATAGGACGATTGCAGTACTGCAACTGGCACATCAAGGTATGAATTTGTAATTATTTTACCTTTTTACATGACTTCAATACATATTAGATACTTTTGTGTGTTTA